TTTTGTACGGTTGTAATGGTAACAACGATAAAAATCGTGGTATAGGTACTAGTATTGCTGGTTGTAGTTGTAGCACAATTCATGATTGTGTAAACTATAGTAACAATGGTAGCTGTAACATTTTCAAGCAGTACTCGTCTATATGGCGGTAGTTGAGAGAATGCACCACGACAGTAACAGTGTATTCTTAACTGAGCACAAAATTTCTAAACTTATTCTTTTGTATCGGCGAAATTGTGTGATTTGTTTTTCATTTCTGACTCACTTATGACTACCTACGTAACGATGTATAAGTTTACTCCTAGAATTATTTTAATTGCTAATTTGGAACATTTTCAGAACAAACATAAGTTGACAAAGGTGTTCATGTAGAGGAAATTTGCTGAGATATTGTATTCACAAATTTCTGTTTCCTCTATCTAGGTGAACACTATTTTCAGGTAAATTCATAGTGCGTAGTGGTATTGGTTCTTAAACACACGATCCTTGAAGTTGAACATAAAATCAATGAGATGACTTTCATTCAACGTTTAATACATGGAGAAGATCAGAAATTGTGATGGTGTTAATGGTTATTCAAGAAGGCATCGCTCATCCAAGCAAGCTTAGTATTTCAGTGAAACCAACCATTTTTGAATTAAGTGTGTTAATCTATCCCAAACCACATATGTGTTTTCCAGAAGACTTTAGAAGTGTTAGCCGACTATTTCGATAGGGCGAGTCACTGTAGACAATTTGTTGACTTCCTCGCAATGTCACATCCTGGCTATTCTACAAATGTGAAACAGGTCTATTATTTTCGCAGCACATATAAATGTTCCAGTACTAACCTATTCCAAATAAATCCTACATTAATGAGACTAACTGGTGTAACGTAACCAGTTATGATTACTCATATTTGCGATAACCTTTGTGGTTGCTTTTTCGTATGTTGGTACTTTATCCCATTAGTCAATTGATTTACAAATGAAATCACCTCTTTAGTGTATGTATCCACTTCAACACATATTAATTCATCCTGATACTTTACATACATGTAGTGTATATACATTGTGCATTGAAATATTTAATAAAATTAATTTGTAAATTAGTTAATTTATAATTGAATTTGTTTGTTTGTTTTAATCTTGCCTAAGTTTAAGTGATGATTAAAATCTATCTGAACACCTTGACTACTAAAAATACTTGAATTTTTTTTGTTCATTTGAACAGAGAAATGAGAAGACATATTTTGTGAGATAGTACCATTTCGTGCTTTCTCGTCAGTCACATAAAGCAACATGTTATTTGAGTAAATACAGTTTTGAAGATAAGGTCAAAATTTCTTATTTAGCATGACATTCACTCACTAGAACCATGGTAAACAAAGGTCAACATACAGTTGTTTTTGAACACATAAAGTTGGACTTTTCCGACCAATCAGGATAGCCTCGAGTAGTTTCAGTGTGTGTGGGTTTTAATTACATGGCACAACTCTGAAGGCTGATTTTGGGTCAATTTGATGACCACTCATCATTAGATGTTTTGCAATGGACGAGGCTGGGTTTCTTGATCGATTTTGAGATGACGAGCTAGGTTGATGAATCATGGATTTGATTAACCATTTTGGAATATGTTCCCCTATCCTGTCTTCCAATCGGCGATCTGTCCTCCTTAAGTATCGTTCTCCGCAGTTACATGTGAATTGGTAAATACAGTGGGATTTGGACTGAATCGGTCTTGGAGACTTGATTGGGGTAACTGAGATCGATTGAGTTGTTGTGATAAGCCTCAGATTAGCTGCACTGAAGGTTTTTTTTATTGCAGCTGCAGTCTGTTTGGTTGTAATTTTCATGCAATGATCACCCTTGAAAGGTAACTGTAGGTAACCTGGTTTCTTGGGCACATCAGTTGCTATCAGTTTCGTCATGGTTGTGTTCTGATGACCAATAAACGTTTCGGGATATCCGTTTGATTTAAGTGTCTCAGTAATAAGCTTGAATTCGTCGTTCAATGTATCAGCAGTGCAGATTCTACTTGCTCGAGCGAATAAAGTTTTAACAACAGAACGTTTATATTTTATGGGGCAGAAACTAGTGAAGTGGAGGTACCGTTCATTGCCAAAACGGAATCATAGTTACCTAGTTGATTTTTATGATTAACATTTTATGTGTTGATGTGTATTTGCATGTTTGTGTAGATGGGATTAATTAGGAAAATGTCATAGTTTCATGCATGAAATTCTGTGTGTATGTGTATGTGTGTGTATATATACAGTGATTCCTTTCTAATGAATTTCATTTCATTTCAGTTTGAAACGAATGAAATGCTCTTGTCACCTTTCTTTAAGTGTATAATTATTACATGTTAGTTATCATTAAGAGAAAGTGGATAAGTAGAATGCTGTACACTAATAATAATAATAATAATAATAATAATAATAATAATATTAATCGTGTATTATTGTGTGTTTTACATTACATTTCAAAGTCGCTACACCATACATTCTTTTAAACGAGAGCGCGCACACACACACATATTGAAAGTATGAATGAAGTCGTCATTTTCAAGTGGTCAGTTGAATTTGACCATAAATCTGAACTTGACTAAATATAAAATCATTTAAGACATTTAAATGATTAAATCATTCATTGTATCTATGTTCAATGATTCAATGCATTGGTGTGTGTGTGTGTGTAATAGTTGTGTCAAGTTTTACATTAGTAGCCTATGAAAATAACACATGATTAATATAATTGAAAAGGATTTTATCACAGTGACACGAATTCATAATGAGGGAATAAAAGTAACGAGAGTGCCAAAATAGTTGTATTCGCTTTAATTTGAGATTACTTTTTAACTAGTTTTGTAATAATTATCATACTACTGAAATATTCGTTTACGAAAAAATGAACGTCATGTATGAACGTGTACGTGTATATACTTTATATATATTTAAATAAAAAGTGGATAGTGTCTAGCAGTGGAATTTAGGACGTGAATTTCTGCCTTTTTACAATTCATCGACTGCATATACCAGTGCACATCCCAGTGTTGATGTTCATATGCAGACAAACGTCTAAGCCATTATAGACTGATTGACTAAGTCCAGTACTTAACATTAATATTGAGAAGAGTCAAACACTCAGAAATACAATTAAACGGTAACTCTTATGAAAATCTTTTTTACTGACACTACAAAAACATTTCGATTTCATTTGATAGACCAGCAAAAATTCAGGAAACTTATTGAAATTCCAAATTACAGTGAATTAAATTAAAATTCAATGGGGTTATAAAAATAACTGATAATAATTTTTTGTCAAATGAAGTGAATTTTCTTTTTAACGAACCGAATTCATTGAATTTATTCAATTAATGGAGTATTTAGATTCTGTTTATTTATTGACTTATACTTTATTTGAGTTGATAAGTTGTTCAAGAACAAACGGAACTACTGTTGTTAAATTGTGACAACTTCACAGTATACGTATAAATAGACTTATTGCTACAATACATTGTAACTATACTATTGTAGCAAATGAACTGAGGCTAGACGAAATAAGGAAGAGTTAATGGTCTGAAAATAGAGCAGAAATTAAATTAAATAAAGCACTGTTGATCACTAGTTGCCAGATTTCACAACGAAGAATGCATTATCATTCTTATGATTTCCTAAATGAATAATACCGATATTCTACTTAATAGATCAGTCAATGATCAATGTTAAGGACAGATTAATCATCATGAAGGACATTAGTTTGTATCACCTTACGAATATAAGAAACGCCTTGATAGTTAAATATCTCTGTGGTAATGTTTATTCACTATTGAAAATCGAATGAAATTGGAAATGGAAGGAGTATAATTTCACCATCCTTATGTTAAGGTCAGGTGGATGAATTCCAGAATTGTGTGAAACAGAGTCAATTATTACTCAATATTACTCATTGTTCTTCACATTCAGGCTGAAAGGATTCATGATGACTTTAATGTTCACTCAGAACTTTCGGACAGTTTTCTTTTTATTCGCTAGATCAGTGTTACTGATCAGAGTATAATTTAACATTTCATGTGAAGTACTAATTTTTATCATATTTTTTCATTATCTGCTTTGTTTAACTGCGTTAGGATGGATATTTTCATGAGAGAAAATAGTGAATAAAGCCAGCTTTCATTAGATTTGAAGCCCATTATCCGAAATTTGTTGCATATTTCCTATTAAACTATTGATTTCTAATGTTTCTGTCATTATCAAAACAACAAATTTCTTGTAAGAAACCTCTTAACAATTTCCGTGAAGTTGCCAAACCTCCTCACGGAAACTTGTGAATCATATTAATTTTTAATATTTGTTTGTGTTCACACAAATTGAACTACAATATCATGAAAAAATTACAAACTGTAACGCAGACATTGTCAATTGTTCAATCTGATTTTGGCATCACTGAAATTGATTGATCACCACGAAATTATCGACCAATGAATTGTACTAAATCGTATGTTCACTTGTACAGAATTTAGTTGTTCGATTTTGATGTTGACAAGATTGAATACTGACACAGTAAATAAATGTTTGGAAGTTAGCTGTGAAAACTACAGCCTTCAAACTATTCAAAAAGTTTCGATGTATGATCTAGATGAAACTTTGTAAAACTCGGGGATTTCTTAAACAATGAACGTGTTCATAAACTTAATTGTGACTATGCAAAATGATGACGATGGATACGTCAGGTGTGTGGACTAAGATAATCAAATCACTATTTGTATTTATATTCATTTAAATTTCGTTGAATTCATGATATATTTCAATAGTAGTTATCTGCTGAAGAGCTTTATTATAATTCTTAGCAATGAATGCTTTTATATGATGAGGGTCTTTTATAAAATCAATCATAATATAATGTGTAAAGAATTTCGATAGAACTGTTACATTATTCATGATTGATGGTCGATATTTTAATGAAATAATTTCTGTATTTGAATAGTATTGCAAAATAATCTACACAATCCATAATTCAATGATATGTTTATATTTGTTTTATCAGGTTTGGTTTCAAAATCGTCGACCTAAATATCGTAAATACGAACGATTACATAATGGAAGTAATATAATGAATATCAACAACACTAATGATAATAAGAGTCACAGAAGTATAGAAATAAATCAAGAACAACATAATACATTACGTGATACGCAAACAATATTGAACACATTCAATGCTTATACATCATCAGTTTCGCAACATTTAATTCCTATCGACAATAATGATAATAATTCGACTGTATTAATTTCAGCTGACAACTTATTTCCCGTTTCTATGAAAACAATAGATATTACCTCGAGTGTTTCACAAGAACAAGTTCCGTTACAGAAAACATCAGTGTCAAAGCTAACTGATGGAATCGATGTGAAGGAAACATTTGCACAAACATTGATTCATTGTCAACTTCAAACACAACTAAAACATGGAAGCCTAGAATTGATTATCCTACATTGTTAGCTACAATTCTGATTGGATTCGATGGAAATCAAACACTATTTCAATTGACACAGCCTAATTTTACATTATCTAAACTGTAAGGTAGAATTGATTATTGTGTATCCTGATGTTGATTTAAAAAATGCGCCATTGTTGATAAGTTCCCAATAATTCACATTCAATCAAAACCCCGTTAAAGTTGATCGAATGTGCCAAGATAGCGATTATTCTCAAATATTATCTCTTTCTGTTATATGGAGTCTCGCTGGTGTAGATATGTATTGAGTTGTAGGGGAGAACAATCTCTCCTAGACTGGATCCCTGTAGGTAGTAGCTTGTGCGCTGTCCGACTAAACGGGACAGTAAGGACTCAAAAAGATAGGGAAAATCGCCGTTGCCTCTTCGACGTATCTGCCTATGCCCACACTGAGTGCAGTTTAGACGAGGTGAAAGATGAGTTTTACAGGAAGATTTCGGACCTCCTCCAAAACGTTAGAAGCTCTGATATAGTAAAAATGGCTGGTAAATTCAATGCTCAGGTAGGTAGACTAAGTGTAAAAGAAAGACACCTAGGTGGATCTTATGATGTCACAGCTCAGAAAACAGACAATGGTGGCCGTCTGTTTCAAATGTGATCACATAACCGCCTATTCTTAGCAAACACTAGCTTTAGGCATAAGGAAAAGCATCTGTTGACCTGGCGACCTCCAAAGTCGTTTCAACGTTGGACTCAACTAGATCACATCGCCATCAGCCACCGATGGAGGGGTTCGATAGAGGACTGTCGCTCGTTGTGGGGCACATATTTAGATTCAGATCATGCCCTAGTGCGTGCTCGTACCTGTTTGAGGCTTATTAGACGTAGGAAAGACACCACAAGAAACCTCTTAGTGTTCTACTCAATGATAATGAGGCTAAGAATATATTCCAGGAACAACTAGAATGAGAGTTAGGCAACCATGTAAATGATTCCCATCCGGAGGTGTTACGCCTGCACGTAAACACGTCATTTTGATATGCTTCAACTATTACGAGTTTACCTAGTCGGAAAACGAGAGCGAGGATCGAGGATCCGACGACAATACATGCTACTTAAATCCGATTATCTCAACCCGCCTATTTAGTTGAGATAAGAAGACTTGATACGAAGCAGAACCTGTATTTTACAAGCATCCAGAAAGTACGAGATCCGAATCCAGAAGAGAATCAAGCTCCCGGACCAGGTTCTGGTCCTGGTCATAAAACATTACAGATCATGCGTATTTATACATTTTTGTTGAATAGGAAACAGCATCGAATTCTGTGACATTGACAGTTAAGACGACCAATAGGAAGCAACATTTGAAGTGACATTGATAGTCAGGACAACCAATAAGAAACAACATTGGAAAACGTGACATTGATATCTAGGGCGACCATAAAATTGACCAGTAGGAATGAACCAATAGGAACTGACTAATAATTTTCTTTAGATATTGGATGAATATCCTAACACCTACCTCTGAAGAAATTGAAGCGACACACGACGGTTTATTTGGATCTGGACTGTTGTTTTCTGCTGTCGGGGAGGATATTTCTGGAACGGAGATGAGGACCAGTCTTGGACACTTCTGAGCGGGTCGGCTTCTTCTTATATGCTTGATGAAACATCTGCTAATGTTAGCTGTTTAAACAAATATAACAGATTGATTTTAGATCGGCTATCGTATTGAGCTGAAGTGAGGGGGAATGGATGTAGCAGGGGGATCAGCTACTGTGGTTAGTTGACAGATACAATGTAAAACGTCAGACTGACTTGATCCAACAACAGTAGTGTCACGATGCAGCTCGGTATCCAATGACATCTTCATTAATTCAGCTCCTGCTAGGGTAATAATTCAAGTCTCAAATGATCAATGTGATGCCCTCCCCGTCGCCAGTTGTTATGCTCGTCACTTTGTACGCTTGAAGCTATTACGAGTTCACCTTAGTCGATAAATGCGAACGAAGGCTTGGTAAGCGTAGAAAATACATTCTACAAACACCCAGCAATCACAATACAATCAAGCACACAACTCTCGTTTATTATTACGTGACTGGGACATTTACGAAAATAGCACCAAATACACAGCAGCCAATCACTACCATGGATTTTCCTGGTGGGAAATGAAATCTCAGGGTCAACTGATCAGCCCACGCTAGCAAACGTGAAATCCAAAATAAGGCATTTATGAAGCGAGTTCTGGGGATCTAACATCCCCAACAGGAGGCAGCTTGGAATGATATCAAAAAGGCTATAAAAACAACAGTGATATCTTCTAGTAAGGTAAACCATAAGCCTAGGATGAAGCCGTGGATATCAGTAGCATCCACCAAACTGATAGACGCTCGTAAACTCATCCCACCTGGCTCTGAACATGATGAAGAACGAAGTCAGCGTAAGCACAGACTAATATAAAGCCTACGTAACGACCGTGAACAGTGGTGGGTGGCGAAAGCAATAGCGATGCAAAAGGCAGGTGCGATAGGCAACAACAGACAGTTGTACCGACTTATCAAGGAAACCGGTATTAGAAACCCGAATGTGAGTGAGACTATTTCGGAAAAGGATGGTCTAATTATCCATTTTCAATCCAGGAGGCAAACCGATGGGCAGAACACTTTAGGGATCAGTTCAACTGGCCTCGAGACACTCTTCCGTTACCCACGATCTCCAGTCACCCTGAATGGCGAATCGACGTAACTTCACCGACTCTTTATGAAGTTGAGAAAGTTATAGGAAATCCGAAGCGAGTGAGAGCAGCAGGGCCTCATAGGCTAAATCCTGAAAGTTTTAAGGATGGTGGCCCAGTTTTAGCAGCTAGGTTGACTGAGATCTTAGGTAGAATCTGGGAATTAGACGTAATCCCATCCCAATGGTATCAATCATTGATTGTCCCAGTATCCAAGAAAGGACAAAAGTCTTCTTGTGACAATCACAGGGGAATAAATCTAACTAATATAGTATCTAAAATATTAGCCTCAATAATATGTCGACGCTTAACGAAAGCTCGTGAAGAGCAAACTCGAGAAAACCAGGCTGGTTTCAGACCTGGACGTGGCTGTATAGACCACAGCTTCACACTACGACAGGTCCTGGAACACAGACACAGGAGTCTTCCCGTACCTTAAGGAGGCATTCGACTCTGTGGACCATGCGATTTTTTGGCAGTGCCTGTTACTGAAAGGTGTACCAAGGAAGTACATTAACCTCATATAAGCTCTCTACTCGAACACCGCTTGTCGAGTGAGGGCTTATGGCGAACTATGTCGGAATTCTTTACTTCAAGTGGTGTGCGTCAGGGCCGCCCACTCTCTCCTTTCTTGTTTAACTTTGTCGTAGATATCCTTCTAGAGTTTACATTATCATCGTCTGGCTCTTAAGGAGTGCATCTTTTACCAGGAGACGAGCTTGCTGATTTAGAATATGCTGATGACATAGTCCTATTTCGCGAAGACGCCGACAAAATGCAGTCTTCTGACTACCCTAAGTAACAATGCAAGCATGTTTGGGATGCGGTTCTCACCCTTGAAATGCAAAATGTTGCTTCGAAATTGGCTTGCATCGGCATCTGAACTAGTGGTACGGAATGAAGTAGTCAAGCGTGTAGACCGCTTCACTTATTTCGAGAGTCCCATTAGTGCTGATAGCCTGGTGACTGACGAAATCTCAGCTGGGATACAGAAGGCTCGATTGGCTTTTGCCAACATGCGTCACTTATGGTGCAGGCGAGATATCCGTTTGCTGACTAAAGGACGAGTGTACTGCGCAGCAGTTCCCTCTGTCCTACTATACGGATGCGAGACATGGCCGTTAAGCGTAGAGGACATTCGTTGGTTATTAGTCTTAGATCATAGGTATATCCGAAGCATTGCTCGTGTATCCTGGGATGACCGAGTAAGCAATGCTATCGTTAGGAAACGAGATCTAGGTAAGGATGGCAAATCAATAGATGAAGTATTGAAACTTCATCAGTTGAGGTGATTGGGACGTGTTACGTATGCCCAACAACCGACTGCCTCGACGAGCGATGTTTTCTGGCGTAGGAGTAGGTTGGAAGAACGTTAGCGGCGGCCCAACCAAAACATTGTAAAATCCCGTGAAATCACTGACAAATGGATTGAGTCATGTTGGTAGATGCAGACTACTTGGTTGGGGTCCACGAGACGAAAGTCACCGATGGTTAGAGACCTTGAACGACATGGCTCAGAATCGTTTGCAATGGCGCGAGTGCACCCATTCATCGTGCTCCCTCAAATCCTAATCTTCTGGATTCGTTATCACCTCTACCTTTGTCTTTCTAACTTTATCTCACTGAATTAAAATTCTTGAATAATATCTTCAAACCCTTATCTTCTCCATTACCAGTAATGCTTCTACTATCTCCACCACTATGAGATTTGAAATGACAATTGCCTCTCCGTGCTAATGTGGCATAGCAACATAAACTGATGTACGTACGTACGAAGTTCAACGTTGTAACCAACTGACTGACTGATAATTAGTCTGCAGCTTGCATTTTGAATTTGAGTCATTTTTTGATCAAGTTATCGACATAGACCCAAGCATATATTTTAAGGAGCTACGATTTATCCAATAAGATGGTAATATGTATATTGGATAAATTAATGGTATTCTAAGTTCGTCACTATTGATCTATCAGAAGTGTAGTGGAATTCGAAAAATTAAAGATTTAATCAAATTCCATAATATTACTAGATTAAGACTTATTGGTGTTTCTAGAAACAATGCTTGTTATGACGTTTCAATACACTACATGTGAAGACACATTTGAATTACATCAGTTAACAGAATATGGTTTGAGAGAATTATTTATTTACAGGAAATAAACACATTAACGAGAAAAGACAATATACATGTTCATTATTGAATATATTTTTTCATAAATTTTTTATGAAATTCAGATCGTAGTGTATCATTGACAAATCCACGTTTTACATGATCGACTTCACCTCGAGCACAATTTTTAAATACGACATCATCATCCCATCTTCGTTTGACTTTGAATTCTTGAGTGTGAAAAGTAAGAACATATTTCATAAAGAATGAAATTATACAATATTAGAAGTATAATATGCATGAGTCTAAACAGTAAAATGTACATAACAATTTACAACAAAATCTGGACTTTTCACATGCTGGTATTTAAAAACAACGCCTGACAGAAATTAACATCTTGAGCCACTAGTCTTATACGAAACCTATATCTATGGACAATGACGAATAAAAACAATTTCATGCCTACAACCGATTTGAAAGTGTTTTGTAATGAACATGGATGTGCGCATTAGTGTTTTAGCGCTATTGCATTTTATGTAATGTATGGTGATAATTTTTGAGTCAGAAATGACTGTAAATTAGGGTTGTTGATCGGGCTGTAGTAAACGTTCTATGTGAATGGAAAGATAATACTCTTGACACACTTAATAGAAATGAATGAAGTTCAGAAATTTGTTCACTAATGACTAGTGGTGAGTGGCTATGTTTAAAATAATAATTAATTCCAAGTGTTATTAGTAATAATTGGCAGATTTAAGGTTTGTCTATCATAAATTGAAAATCCGTTAAACAATTCAAGTAATGGTGGCATATTCTATTTCAGTAGCTAAAATAAACTGGGGGAAACTTAATTCTCTGAGTTGGATGAGTTTTTTGTGAGGCTTTGATTTCTGCTCTTAATAGAATCGCCAGTGTATAATTCAAGTAGAAACATCAGCTTGGAGAACACAACATCAGTTAACTCGTTTAATTCAGTTAAGAACCTTTTTCATACTATTATTTAGTGATGTTTAGTGCTAGTTATTACGGCTATTGTGTGCTACTGTTTTAAACTTCTCAGTTGATTTGTACAAATGAGTATTCTTTTGTACTATACAGTGTTTATAGACACAGTAAACACTATCGTTCACTAATCAATAAGATAAATTTTAGTCATTAAAATATAGAAAATTTCTTTCAGACCACGATTATGACTTCTTTGAACAAATACTGAAAATATAACAGTAATCAAAGCCTCGTAATCTGTATATGTGTATGACTACCCACTTGGGACTCAATCGATGATTTTGAAGCGTTCTCACAAGCTCGTTAGTCAGCAAACCTATTGAATAGTCACTAGAACTTGAGGAGAAACAGAAAATCTCTTTTATAAAGGTACCAAATATAAATCAGTGCAATTCAACCAATCTATTTACATACTAGCCTCATAGTTTTTCCAGAAAAGTACGATGACTTAAGTTCGACCAACTACGCCTGGAGCTCAGCCGGGGTTATTGTCGGTCCCAAGCCCGGATGAAGGAGGAGGGTTGACGACCCCATCCCGCAGAACAACAACTCGCTAAAAAACGCCAACCAGAAAAAATAATTTAAACCATTCTAACTCTGTCCTGGGAGTTAGTTAGGTCTCCTTTTAGAAGAGTTATGTCGTTTCATGATGAAAGCCGAGTTCCTTCAGAAGTCACGACGACGATGTCCCTTCTGACAACCAGAGAAACCATTAATTTAGGTACATGGAATGTTCGTACAATGTGGGAGACCGGAAGACTATTCCAAGTTGCTGCAGAAATGAAAAGATACAACCTGGATGTGCTGGGAGTCAGTGAAATACATTGAACGCAGGGTAGACAACTAAGAATAGCTTCAGGAGAGCTGCTGTTACACTCCGGCCGTGAAGAAGAAAATGTCTCACACACATAAGGATTTGCAAAGATGCTATTCAAATAAGTACAAAAGGCTCTTGTAGGATGAGAACCACATGGACAAAGGATCATCAAATCATCGTTCAAAACAAACAAAGAGGGAATTACAATGAACGTCATCCAATGTTATGCACCTACCAATGACTACATCAAAGATCAGTTCAACGACAGCTGCAGTCAACCGTCGAGAGATACTAATCAAAGAATTTGACCATTCTGATGGGAGACCTGAATGCCAAGGTTGGAATGGACAACACTGGATATGAATACATCATGGGACGACATGGACTGAGAGAAAGGAACAAAAATAGTGAGAGATTCGCAAACCTATGTGCCTTCAACAAACCAAATCACACCTGTTGGAGATGCCTTCGAGGACGTAAAGAACAGGGTAAGTTAGAGAATACTGGTCATCGGTCTATGCTACATTTGGAATAACAGGCGTAAGTAAGTATATAAATAAACCTTATGTTCAATGAAATAAGCAGATTTGTATATACTATGGTTGTATTCATTAATACTTTTATATGACTCATTTGTGCATAAAATCGAATTCTAATTAACCTATTATCGATAATAATCAAACATTCATAAACTAAATATATCATTTGATGACGATGATAACCTTCGGTTCAAGCAACCAGCTTCTTTGTAATAAATATCTAAAACTAATCAGTATTATTTTATTGTATAACCATTTTTACCTTACAGTTTAAATAATTTAAAATTATACTGTGTCAATTGAAATGGAAGCAGCACTGGGAGTGGATAGGGCACCATTTGGAGTAACAGGCGTAAGTAAGTGACTACCGATCAATCTTCGTGTCAACAGGTCAACCTTATGATTTATAACGTACTGGAATGAACAAAGTGAATCTGTTCTAAGATAGATGATTTAAACATCCGTGTTGAAATAGATTAATAATCTGCATGCCTGATTTTATCGAAATTAAACGGTTCACTAAATGAAAAAGTAATTAAACTAAATCATGGAACGTCGAAAATTCGATTTTCTACTTACTGGTGTAATATAAATAGATTATTATTATTATTATTATTATTATAGATTGACTGTAAGGAAAGACAAGCATTCAACGAACCTGAAGAATTAGATGAATTTAAAAGAGGATTTCCTTTCAAAATATTTTCCATACGAATAGTTTCTTCGGCTGCCTTCCTTTCGGCAGCTAAACGAGCTGCTTCCTCAGCTCGTTCACGTTTAATTTTGGCCAATTCAGCTAGGAGCATTTCTTCATCTTCTTCATCATCATCGTCATCATCCATATCATTTTTGTCAGCATCTTCATTGTTATCATTATTATTTTGATTGTCATCATCAAAAGTATCCTCAGTATAATTTTTGTTTTTATCATTATTTGATGTCTTAGTGATAACTATATCGTCTTGATCTTCATCATAATCCTCGTCCCACGGATCATCAGCGTCTAAATTAGATGTTGACACCGTAGTAGTTGTTTCAGGGCGTGTGCGTTTTATACTACCTATGGTAGTACTTTCAACAGTTGGCGCGATAGCAGTAGAATTCGGTCGTTTGGCGCTAGTAATCGCTGGTTGTTGACTAGTGGTATTTATTGAGGCTAAATGATAGCAATAGGAAAAATAGCTTAAATATAACAATTTCTACAGGCATAATATCTTGATTCTTGAAAAACTGAATACCAAAACGTAAACGGTACAAAATCCTGATCTGAAATATAATATGAATTTTAAGAAGTTCCTGAAAATTTACATCTTCACGAAAGCGTGATCCGGACTTGAGTTCAGATAACAAGTTTACCAGATTAATTAATTGAGTACATTGAACAATAAAACGGACTCTAAAAGCACTTAATGTTTGCTGGTGATATTCAATCGTTCCAATACGCCATGACACAATACATTTACAAAATAACACGATATTCATGTTTGCAAGTCTATAATCAGCATAGTTCAAAGTTCCTTAAAATAGATAGAATGAGACCGCTATTGTATATAATGGAATCAAAGTTCAGAAGTAATATTATGAACACAAACCTACCGTAGTACTTGTGAGAAATAAGGCAGTAGGATGTATTTCTCTTTACAACAACATAGAACGGTAAAACCAACGAACATGGGAAGATTTAAGAGTAGATAGTAGGGACGAGTTAAAGGAAAGTGGAAGGCAAAGTATTTACAATCAAGTAAAAGTGAATGGATCAGGAATACTGCTGCTGATTTTCAGCTGTTGCTTAAGGTATTCAGCTCCTAGGTTAATAGAATTTTGCAAACTGACTGTGGAAAGTGTACATGGTTCTGATTGATCTTAAGTGGACCATTCTAAAACACTGTCCAGAATTAAGTCCTAACAGACAGATCTTGATTGAAGGTTGATTTTCCCGCAATCGCCTGTGAATGTTTACTAAAATATACGTATTAACTTGCAGGTTTGCGAAAGTCCTTAGACCTTACCAACCAGAAGATTAAACCAAGTGAGTTTGCTAGATACACCGACATTTTGTAACCTGATTCTATTTCACCCGGAATAGAGACATACGCAGTAATAAACTTCAACAATATAATATCTGTTTCGAGGAACAACCTTGGTGAGTTGATTTACTCTATAAGTATTTACCCAGAATATCGTCGTTCCGTAAATTCGGAATGGAAGTGAAAAAGTAGAATATCTTAAAATATAGATGTATAAATCCCATAAAAGTCGAAATTTAAAACTGAGTGTTATCTCGGAAACTAGGATATCAAACAGAAAATTCGAGAGAGAAGAAGAGAATATTTTACGTTAGTCAGTCAGTCGACTACAACTTAAGACTTCGTACGTACGAACATCAGTTCCAGACGCCATACCACATTAGCACAGGCACTCAATTGTCAATTCAAATGTCAAAGTAGTTGAGGAAGTAGAAGTATCAGCAGTAATCGGGGAGATTAGGGTTTGAGGATATATTCAAGAAGTAGAATCAAGTGAAGTAAACTTGAAAAGAAAAAGATGATGAGGAATTAAGGTTGGGGTTTGAAGGAAACCAATAATAAATGCACTTGCGCCATTGAGAAAACGATTTTGAGCCATGTCATATAAGATCTCTATCTCGCGCGGACCCGAACCCGATGATCTACATTTATCAATATGACTCAGTTTAGTTGTCAGTGACTTCATGGATTAACGACCGTAGCTGTTACCTTGACATGGTGGTCGGGCATGCCGATCGTAATGACCTAATCAAGCTCTATTGCCTGGAACATATATTTCTATAGGTTCTACCATACCAGGCAGGTCGATTGGAGAACAATGAGACTAAAAACAGCAATTCAAGTTCTGAGGGCAAAGTCGTACTGCTAACTGCAGAGGGGTGTGACAGGAGTAAGGTGTTTCCCTCGGAAAACCAGCACCTGCAGCGATGCTGCCTTCTCACAAAGAAGGAAGGAAGAGATAGAAAAAGTCGACCCTAAAAATGTCACATCTCACCTTACCTCACGGATTTCCGTCTCCGGAGGTAAGGGCTTTTAAACAAGAACGGAGCTATCAATTTAACTACTACCCCTAAAAAGGCCGTGTGTGACCGGCCTCAAGCAGTTGTCCCTCGGATCCTATGGTCACGCTCCCAGGTCTCTGAGACCAAAGCTAATCTTTTCAGGTTCCTCAAGAGACACCCATCCACGGTGTGGGCAGTCGGGAAGTGACAACTGCCCTCATACCCCTAACAGCACACTAGATCGAATTGGTCACAGTCAAATCCTTCCTACACCCCCTAACATCCCCCTTATCTTCACAACTAACTCTCCTCACATTCCTTTATCATCCCGCACCTCTGCTACGAACGATTCAAGTTCCCGAAACGCTATTCCTGGACTCCTGAAACCCCGTTCTAAACTACATGTCGGACCATTTAATGTACGGACATTATGTCAAACAGGCCAACAGGCTTCATTAGCTAGGACTTTTAGAATCGCGAGCCATCGATGTATTCTGCGTCTCGGAAACGCCCATACAGGACCCGAGTAGCGTTATTCACTTGACCCTACTATGTCAAGATAAAGAAGCAGCTGGATTTACCCTTCGCATATCTGGAAGCCCAGATGCTGCTTCCTGCAGTTTCGCTGGTGTATGTATAGCATTCAGTCCTAGGGCAGAACTAGCTCTCCTAGACTGGATCCCAGTAGATAGTCGCTTGTGCGCTTTCCGACTACATGAGACAGTAATAAATCAGAGAGATAGTGACACTCGCCATTGCATCTTCGTTATATCTGCCTATGCCCACACTGACTGCAGTTTAGACGAGGTGAAAGATGAGTTTTACAGAAAGATTTCGAACCTCTTCCAAAACGTTAGAAGCTCTGATATAGTAAAAATGGCTGGTAAATTCAATGCTCAGGTAGGTAGACTAAGTGTAAAAGAAGGACAACTAGGTGGATCTTATGATGTCGCGGCTCAGAGAACAGACAATGGTGGCCGTCTGTTGCAAATGTGCTCAGATAACCACCTATTTCTAACAAACACTAACTTTAGGCATAAGGAAAAGCATATCTTGACCTGGCGACCTCCAAATTCGTCTCAACGATGTACCCAACTAGATCACATCGCCATCAGCCACAGATAGAGAGGGTCGATAGAGGACAGTCGCTCGTTCATGGGCACATATTTAGATTCAGATCATGCCCTAGTGCGAGCGCATATTTGTTTGAGGCTTACTGGACGTAGGAAAGACACCGCAAAGAAACCACTTATGATTCTACCTAATGATAGCAGAGCTATGAATATATTTCAGCAACAACTAGAAAAACAGTTGGGCGACTATGTGAGTGATCCCCATTCGGAAGCAGCTTGGAATGATATCAAAAAAGCTGTGGAAACAGCAACGATATATGCTCGTAAGGTAAACCATAAGGCTAGGAAGAAGCGGTCAGTCAGTCAGTCAGTCAGTCAGATGCAACGTAGAACTTCGTACGTAAGTACATCAGTTCATGTCGCCATACCACATCAGCACAGAGATGTAATTTGTCAATTCAAATCCAATAGTAGAAGAGGTAGTAAGGGTATTAGAAGTAATCGGAGAGGTTAGGATTAGAAGATATTATTAACATCTCGCGGACCCCAACCAGGTAGTCGACAATTACCGACATGGCTAAGTCCACTCGTCAATGATTTGATGGATTTCTGCCATGTTTTGGTTTGGCCGCCCTCGAACGGATGGATGCTTGATAACTCATTACGCCTGGCTCTGAACATGATAGAGAGCGAAGTCAGCGTAAGCACAGACTGATAAAAAGCATACGCAATGATTGAGAACAGTGTTGGGTGGAGAAAGCGAGGAAGATGGAAAAGGCAGTTGTGATAGGTAGCAGTAAACAGTTGTTCCGACGTATCAAGGAAACCGGTATTAGAAACCCGAATGTGAGTGAGACTATTTCGGAAAAGGATGGTCTTATTATCCATTGTCAATCCAGGAGGCAAACCGATGGGCAGAACTCTTTAAGGATCAGTTCGCCTGCCTTCAGTAACACTTCGGTTGCCCACGATCTCCAGTCAACCTTTATGAAGTTGAGAAAGTTATAGGAAATCCGAAGCGAGTGAGAGCAGCAGGGCCTCATAGGCTAAATCCTGAAAGTTTTAAGGATGGTGGCCCAGTTTTAGCAGCTAGGTTGACTGAGATCTTAGGTAGAATCTGGGAACTAGACGTAATCCCATCCCAATGGTATCAATCATTGATTGTCCCAGTATCCAAGAAAGGACAAAAGTCTTCTTGTGACAATCACAGGGGAATAAGTCTAACTAATATAGTATCTAAAATATTAGCCTCAATAATATGTCGACGCTTAACGAAAGCTCGTGAAGAGCAAACTCGAGAAAACCAGTCTGGTTTCAGACCTGCACGTGGCTGTATAGACCACAGCTTCACACTACGACAGGTCCTGGAACACAGACACAGGCGTCTTCCCGTACCTTAAGGCGGCATTTGACTCAGTGGATCGTGAGGTTCTGTGGCAGTGCCTGTTACTGAAAGGTGTACCAAGGAAGTACGTTAACCTCATATAATCTCTCTACTCGAACACCGCTTGTCGAGTGAGGGCTTATGGCGAACTATGTCGGAATTCTTTACTTCAAGTGGTGTGCGTCAGGGCCGCCCACTCTCTCCTTTCTTGTTTAACTTTGTCGTAGATATCCTTCTAGAGTTTACATTATCATCGTCTGGCTCTTAAGGAGTACACATTTTACCAAGAGACACGCTTGCTGATTTATAATATGCTGATGACATAGTCCTATTTCGCGAAGACGCTGACAAAATACAGTCTTCTGACTACCCTAAGCAACAATGCAAGCATGTTTGAGATGCGGTTCTCACCCTCGAGATGCAAAATGTTGCTTCGAAATTGGCTTGCATCGGCATCTGAACTAGTGGTACGGAATGAAGTAGTCAAGCGTGTAGACCACTTCACTTATCTCGAGAGTCCCATTAGTGCTGATAGCCTGGTGACTGACGAAATCTCAGAACGGATACAAAAGGCTTGATTGACTTTGCCAACTTGCGTCATTTATGGCGTAGGCGAGATATCCGTTTTCTAACCAAAGGACGAGTCCACTGTGCAGCAGTTCACTCCGTCCTATTATATCGATGCAAAACATGGCCGGTGACAGTAGAGGGCATTCGTAGATTGCTTGTCTTCGATCATAAGTTTCTTCGAAGCATTGCTCGTATATCTTGGGACACAAGTGAGCAACGATGTTATTAGGAAACGGGTCCTAGGTAAGAATGGCAGATCAATAGATGAAGTGGTGAAACTTCATCAGTTCATGTGATTGGGAGATGTGTTACGTATGCCCAACAACCAACTGCCTCGTCTAACGATGTTTCCTGGCGTAGGAATAGGCTGGAAGAAAGCTGGGGGCGGCCAAACCATAACATGGCAGAAATCCATGAAGTCATTGACAAGTGGACTGAGCCATGTCGGTAGTTGTCGACTACCTGGTTGGGGTCCGCGAGATGATAACAATCGATGGTTAGATACCCTGAATGACATGGCTCAAAACCGTTTGGAATGGCGCCGGTGCATTTATCCTTTGTGTTCTCTCGAATCCTAATCTTCTGGATTCGTTATCACCTCTACCTTTGTCTTTCTAACTTTATCTCACTGAATTAAAATCCTTGAATAATATCTTCAAACCCTTATCTTCTCCATTACCAGTAATGCTTCTACTATCTCCACAACTATGGGATTTGAAATGCCAGTTGCCTCTCTGTGCGGATGCGGTACGAAGTTCTACGTTGCAACTGACTGACTTTATGGATTTGTGCCATGTTTCAGCTTGGCTGCCCCTAGCTTTCTTCTAACCTACACTGTAAAACATAGCTCGGTTGTTAGACATACGCAACATATGTCCCAACCACCTCAACTGATGAAGGTTTTCTACTCGTTTCCTAACGATAACTCTTCTTACTCGATAATCTCAGGATATACTAGCAGTGCTTCGAAGACACCTATGATCGGAAACCAATGTCCTCTACTCTTACCAGCCATGTTTTGCATCAATATAATAGGACAGAGTGAACTGCTGCACAGTGGACTCGTCTTTTGGTTAGAAAACGGATATCTCGCCTACGCCATAAATGACGCAAGTTGGCAAAGTCAATCAAGCCTTTTGTATCCGTTCTGAGATTTCGTCAGTCACCAGGCTATCAGCACTAATGGGACTCTCGAGATAAGTGAAGCGGTCAACACGCCTAACTACTTCACTCCCTATGAATATTTGATGTCATGTTAATCAAAGCACTTGAATCTATACTATAAATGTAGATAAAGTTGGAATAAATTTTTAGGAGTTAATGCATTATCCCTACATAATTGTTTAACACTTCTCAATGTATTCACAATCAACGTGCATCAAGAATAAGCAAATTGAGCATACTTACGTCTCCCCGACTTTTCTTGAGCTAACCGTTTCTCTTTTTCTTCCAAAGCACGTTTAAAATCTTTTCCTTGAATATCTTCAGGTCTTCCTTGTCCTTCTTGGCGCAATTTTAATTTTGTGTGTGCCGGTAAGTCGCGAACAGAGTACTGTTTGGACAAAGCACTCAAATCACCTTCCCACTTTCCCCTACTACCTTTAGCAGTATCCCATGTTGGTCTCCCAGCTGTGGTCATTTTTCAGTAGATGAACAGCCTAGAAATAAAAAGCCTGATTATTAAGGTGTTCCTGGACTTAATTGCGGTTAGTTGCAAACAGGTTATCCGAATCACACATTGTCGTTGTGTTATGGGAACGCGAATAATCAAGAAGCAGATAATAAAATCCAAATAAGGAGACAATCGGTTGCAGCAGATAATGTGTACGGCAAAATGAAAATAGATTAAACATTTTTAAATATGAAACACTGGCGAGAAATTCGGATTTTTGTTTTCACTTAAATACATAAACACAGAGTATTGATTAGTACTAGGATATTACTGGGTCGTGATTCATAAACTCTAATTAACCTAGTAAACTCTGATCGAACTCGAATTGGGGAGGGGACTGATGGCTTATCTTAAGGAGTACAGGCTATTAATTCAGTGATGGTATTTTTCACTGATTAAAATACTGACAAAAACGAACAAAACGCTAGTTAGATAACGCTACGTAGATGATGGTCAAGATATCAAACGTCATTCACAAACGCAGAGTTAAAACAAAGATAAGCTATCCATACCACTGGAAAGTGAATATATACATATATATAATAACCAGATATCTTTGTAAATAATAACTTCTTTTAATGTTATGGGGAGGGGTACGAATGCAATATTCGAAACTAGATTTATGGCTTAGTCTGGTTGTCTTATTATGCTTATGCCCAGAAATATGGCAACTCTGGTGTCAGATTTGTTTATTATGTTTCAAAGCACTCCCGGGATGAGAATGGCAAACAATAATTCTCAAAGAGAACTGCTGAAATACATGAGCGATATATTGCACAGATAAGTGATTCCAAATGGATAATCCGTTGGAATACATTTACACGCAGTTATTACAATAACATAGCGCTGAGTACTGCTAACATGGACCCTTAAAACTGTGTAAAATGCCTTGATTGTGGAAGTTTCAGCAGAAACAATTTGGTGAGGATATAAACATTGAAGATTATTTAAAATAATCTGATAGGCGAGATAACGATAGAGAACCCTAATACTTCTCTTAGGAAGGCTTACACAAAACTACACTTCACACTGAATTATAGGGAAGTAGCGTTCAACACAAATGTGCCGCAACCTTTCTCGTATCCAATATCCAATATCTTTTTCAGGAGCTATTGTAAACCAACTGATTTATTTGCGCTCGATTATTTTTCTTTCGGTACGGTTCCAGGTGTTCGGTATTTTCCAATGGATGGAGGTCTAGCCACCCGACTTTTTAATTCTAGACAGTTGACAGTCGGTTGTGAGTTTGTATGTCTCGGGATTTGAATGAAAACGTTTGTTTCAGGCCAGTAGTATCTAATATATATAGATATCTATATAAAATTGTTCCTGCATAGTAATCTTCCGTTTTCGGTAGAAATATGTAATAGTGGGTAAGTGTAGTCGTCTATGTCTAGCCGGAAAGAACTTAGTGTTTTAGCGAGGTATGAAGATCAAAGTGAGTGGTCGGAGATGGAAGAAAAATGTACAGAAAAAAAAGTAAACCATTGACCCAGAAAGGGCACAAGATATCGTTATAGTCTTTAAGGAAAGCTGCTGTTGGCAATCAGTAACAAAAGACTCAGATTAAAGCAGTCTGGAAATCGAACCTAGAAGCGCGGAGTTTTGGACTTTCTACATGAGCACGCAAAATATATTCAGCGTCCGATACCTTTTTCACGAGCTAGTATGAACCAATTAATTTCCTCGCGCCCGATTCTTCTTCTTTTGGTACGGTTCCATTTACTTTGTATTGTCTAAATGATGGTAGTCTAGCCACTCGACTGCCTGATTCCAGTAAGTTAAAAGTTTGGTGAGTTTGTATGTCTCGCGATTTAAACAAACACGCTTGCTTTAGGGCAGTTAGGTTTCTGGATACCAGCAGCTATCACATTACCAGACCAAGGATCATTTAGTTGCGATGTTATTCTCCACATCGCACATAGGGGGAAAATTCCAATGGTAGTAGTGTAGTGAACGAGAACACCGGTGGGGCAACCGAATTGTATTTAACGAAAATTACAGAGTTACTCAGTAAAATCGGAAAACCATATCGTAAATTGTTAATTTGCAAAATATCAGTCCATCATATCGAACTGGACTGTTCCTGTTGCAAAACATCAATCCATTGTCACTATTCATGCGTTTCATACAAATTCCATTGTTTTCTAACTCTTCCTTTCTTGATCTTCCCCCATATGCTGCTGCCAGACATTACATTGACACTCATGTCATATACTACTTATAAGTAGCTCACACCACAGTAGTAGTAAGATTTTAGAACTAGGTAAATAATGGATAGTTCAGTCTATTAATTTGTAGTAAACATTGTGCAAGAGGCCGGAGTGTAAACAAGAAAAAGGAAACGGAGATCATAGACGAGATAGAATAGTTTGTTGACTTGAGAAGATGACAATAATAACGACTAGCAAGTCTCAAGGAAAGCACCAGGTACAGCTAGTCAGCGAAGGGGGTGGTGGTGATGCAGTGTTGAGATGCTCACATTGGAGTGGTTTGGTGTGCTTAATATGTTGAACGTTATAGTCAGATCACATCCGACTGTCTTATAATTCAGGGGAAATAATTCCAAACGCTAGAGTCTATCTTCGAAAGGATTTTTCTTCAACCCTATCGCCCATTTAGTTGCTCGTCTCTGAACTCGATCCAAGAGATTTATGTCTCTTTTCAGGAGGGGGGTGTGACGTCATTTTAAACCTCTATCTGGGGTTCACGTATGTCTTAAAGAACGTCAAGAATAATTTAAGGCTGTTAGCACCAATTTTTCTTCTCATAATGTGAAGAGTTGCATTAACCTTGAATACGGCCCCTATACAGTTGGATCTCGTGTTCAGTGTGTCGTTGGTAATTGAATTGAGACCACGCACTACGGAGACACTAGAGAGTGGAGGTCCATTTATGGTGTAAATCGTTTGCGTCATGTGGTGCAGTATGTACATGACGTAAATTTTCAGCTGGATGTAAGGTCTCAGTCGAATCTTTTTCGCTTCTAACGGACTTCCATATCTTTGCGTCGATTAGTGTTGCGTGGCTAACTTTGTCTAACAGGTCGTGAATGAATAAAAGAAAGAGGAGTGGACATAAGATGGTCCCCTGTGAAACTCTCGATATTGAGACTCGCGTGCACTCTATTTATCTTGGTACGAAACTTTCCATTCTCAAGGTAGTTTCCGATCCGAAATAAGTGTGGGTTAGTGAAACCCACCTCCGCAAGCTTCGCGATTAGGCTTGTGTGGGGTACTGTGTCGAAGGCTTGTCAAAGTCTAGAAATGTTATGTGCACTGGTATTCAGCTGTGAGTTGGTGTGACTCCAGCGAACTGATAAACAGGTCACATATCGGTGAACGAAGGGCTCCTAAAAACTGTGTCAAGACTACAGGGCGAATATTTTCACACAATGGTAACTTTCATAGGCGTAAGGACTTCAGTTTCCTTAGATATACGTCAGGAGTAATATGGATATCCCTTAAGTTGTCAGCTGGCACTGGGTTCACATAGTACTTTGAACATGTAGATGCCTGGTTTAACTGGTTGGTGAAGCTAGTGTTAGAGATCTCAGTCATCTCTAGGTTGGTGAGGTCTTCCCCATTCGGACTTTTGAGGGAACGCAAATCCTGATTCTTTGGTTTTATTTTAGCCGTGAACCTAAAGAGATGCTTTGAGTTTGCCTGCGTATAGACAGCTAGCTTCGTCTGAAAGCTTCTCCTGTCACTTCGAACCTCGGTATCGTATTTGTTTATCAGTGCCAAGTAAACACTAATAGCGGAATCCTTCAAGGACACCTTCCATTTTTGCCAGAATCTCATATTCGCCTGCTGCAAGCACTGAGTGCCGCGCAGAACCCATGATCTTCTATTTCCGGGTGGGGTGTGACTGAGGTACATCGTCTAAGATAGCATTCTACATGATGTCTCTCACTGCTTCCCACTGATTAACTACTGTCAACCTCCACCAATCCCGTGGATACGTGGCATGTAGAAGGTTCTCTCTCATATGTGTGTAGTGAGTTCTTGTGTAATAAAGGTAGAGCTCGTTTTCGTCCTGTCTGTGTGTTTCATTTACGAACGTGTTAATCAAGACTCTACCCTGGTCACCAGTTCCTTCTGGTGTATGGACGTGAACGTCCTAAATCCGAAGCAGATCAGTTGTTAAAAATAATCCAAGTTCGAGGATTTTCGCTCCTTAGTCCATCTAGCGGCACTTCACGCATGCCTAGTCACTCAAGTGCGTTTAATGACTCTGCCAAGTCGTGTTTGAAACAGACCAATGAGAGTTGTAGTCGTCAGAATCCTCATAATCCAGAAGTAGTACTTGTTTGGCATATTTTGGTCACTGGTTTATGTTTCAGTCAGTTCATTCGCTGACGTAATGAGTAGGCAATCCTGAGCTGTTCTGAGCTGGTTTAAAATATTTTTCCCATTCCGTCTAATTGGTCTGTGACGAAATTACTTCTTAAATTGAGTAATTAAAGACAGTGATTTGGAATTTCAATACATATTTCGAAAGCTGAATTCTTCTCTTTTTCTGATCATATTGATGAGGTTTACACGTGATCTAAATGGAATCAACAAAAAAATATTCCTAGAACACAGAAATGTTTGTAGTGGAAAAAAATTTTTAAAAATATTTCTTGATGACACGAAAGAAAGAAGAACACCAGTGATTGTTTTTAGAAAATATTGGAAATATCCCGTTGTTGATACTATTGTTTGAATTTCTGTCAGTCTTCATTTTTATATAGGCACCGGATAAAAAATGTCTGAAAAAATCCATCTTTTTGCAAGCCATGTAGGATACGTGGACTGTGGCTGGCGGTAGAATCCTGGAGGTTTATGTCGTTCAATTGGCAGCTGGTTTTCGGAAATCAGTTAATTTCAAGGTCAATGCATCAACTAGATACATAATTAAGGGGAGGCAAAGTTCCAAATCCACATACACTGATTCCGCGTGGATCAGGCCCATAGATTTCTTCTTTAAAGATGGTTCCTCTCATGTATTTGTGCTGTGGATTTGGTTCAGCTGAACATGACTGAAAAAACCACCTTGAAAGAGATATTGATTGAACAGAAAATGAATGTCCAGTGAAGTCCGGTTTAATGCGATTATCAAATAATATCAACGGTTTCGCAATATCTGCAGCTCAACTCCATCTCACGCATACAATCTGATGACATGGTTGTTGAAAGTAATTTCGGTGAAAACAAAAATTCGTCAGAATAATAATATGCTAGCAATTATTATGTGCCATCCAATACTAAATGTTTCGAATGAATTGTAAGTATTTATTAGCATCGGAATGATTTGTGAAGAATTATAAATCATTCAAGGATAAAAATGTGGATGACGACATAGTTTGTCCAAGCAATTTCGAAATGTAAATGTGATTGTGAAATAACTGACGCCAACCAACTGAGTCTGTGTTCAATATATGCTATGGATTTGCAAACGTTGATTATGACTGAAGAACGAATCATGACACAGCTCTGGTAAGAACTTTCTTTTTCAGCAAAGTCTCTGCCGGAATTCGAAAGAAAAAGGGTACTAGGTCACAGGGAGAGTCTGGTTAAACCACTCGTGGATAAATTTGTATTCAATAGATTATCAGGTCCATGAATTTCAGGTCTCTATCGCTGACAAACTTGATTGACGAATATGAACGTTTATTGATCGATTTCTTCCTACTCCTCCTTTCTTCAGTCTTATCCAGTGTATTAGTAATGATCCATTCCTTGTGATGCTGTTTCTTGTGGCCATAAACCTAATGACATGCTGGAATTATTGCTTCCTTGATCTCTTATCAGTTGGTCTACATGGTAGTTTCTTCTTTATTGAATAGGTCATGTAGGACTTCCAACTTCAATTCGTTGAATTTACCAGTATCCTAACAAGAACCGCAATAAAATTCTATAATACACTCTATCCAGTGGCAGCGCTTGTTTAGCCCCACTTTTATTTCGGCCAACACGACCATGTGGCCATTTGAAACTTCGTTAGCCCTTAGCTTCATGCAAATGTATTCTGAGTCTGTCTAAACTCGAGGGGATCCTAATAGTGTTGATCCCACATAAACATGCTAATCTGG